CATTTGAGTGTGTTGAAAGTTATAATGTTATTCTATGTGTTAGTTTTGTCGGTTATTTGAGACTAGCAGTAAGCTAGATCAACATATTAGAATAACATACTGATCATATTCTAACAATTCATCATGTTGAGCTTTATAACATTGATTCGTTTTATGTACATTTGCTCACCTGTCTAATAAAAGTACACGCAAGAGCGGCGTCTCTGTCAAGTCAAAGTTTGCCGCGAAGCTCTCAGCATCTCGAAAACGCCACGCAGATATTGATCCTCGTTTTAGTTCTCCTTTTGTCCCTAAGTCTGCTTGCCATGATCCATAATGTCTGAACGAAACAACAGCGTGCCGCTAAACATTACGCAATTGTCCACATCTGTCGCCATGGTTACTATGGCAGTGCGAGCGGAAACAAGGGATAACGTGGCTGTTACGTCATTAACAGGCGACAAGTGACGGGCACTATTTAAAATTGTGAATTTCTCTAAATTTACAAATTCTTGGAAACATTTAGGATAGTGCAAGTACATAATTGAAAGAAATATATAACACTGTACAAGTGGTTTTTGGATATTTTGATACAAAGTTCTTACATATTGTACCTTAAAGGTATAGTGGAGGATCTTTCCGAATTTTAGAGAAGACCCGCCCTCTCCAATTTTTTTAAAAATGCACATGCGCAACACTATGCTATACCCTCTTGCTCCCGAGAGGGAACGCCTATTAAACTTTTACTAGCAGTGATTTTAAATGGATTTCTCCCAATAGCATGACAAACTTTACCTGTCTAGTAGAATCTTCGCGACTGCGGCATCAGTGGGAAGCCCAACCTGTGCTTTTAGCGCACGCCAGCGTGTGAAATATTCACCCAAAATCACTCTGGTCTTGTTTCTATATTCTGCGGCCTTTCTCTTATCATACACTTTGTATACATTTTTTCTCTTTCGACCCTCAGCCATTTTCAAAGGAATGGCTGAAACCGTAACTCATCACACATAATACACCTGAAAGTGCGCATGCGCAGAAAGCGAAAACTACATAGGGACGAGCACGTACGACGGCCTTACGTAAACATATCACCAGAATGATTGACACTTAGGTGGACCAATAGTATAGGCTACCCACCCGGAAAAAGAAAATCCTCCGCTATACCTTTAACTAATTTTTTTTTTTAAAGAAATCAAGTTTTTAATGCCGTTTAAATGTCTAAATACAAATTAATGCACACAGATTATCAGATCAAATTAGTCATTTAAATACTTTCTGTGAGATATAATTTCACAGAGAGAGTACAAGACTTTCACTCGTGTTTTGGGACAGAATTGTCATTTGCCCAATCGGGCCAGTGTTGCATTGTTACTAAAATGTATCATATGGACGACTCGTCAATTAAAACATTCAACAATTTTAAAGCATTCAGTAGTACTCGCTCTCTGAGAGACGATTTTCTACACGCTCATACCCAGAGCACGCACACATAAAGCTGCCTCTCAAACAGCTCACGAGTACCATACTGAGTGCTTTTTCACAGCTTATTGCGCTTAAACGGTCAGAAATGCAAAGAATTATGTCAAAATGCCCGTCTTGGAGAGTATTCACATCAACACAGACAGAGATGTCTTTAGTGAATGTAAAAAAAAAAAACAGTTGAGAAAGATACTGCATGTGTATCAGTATATTGGATCCATGCATTAGCTCTTAAAGTGACAGCAGCCAATATACCTGTGATATGAATATACCCTTTATACTCAGTGTTAATCAAAGAAAAAAAGATTTAAAGAGAATTAATCTGTATTTAATTTATACTATGAAACATTCGATTTATTCAATTTCTACAGTATTCCCGTACCTGAATACTGTTAGACCTACCTGAAAACCTTAAAATAAGAATACAAATGTAATAAAGAGTGCTTTATTGTCCTTCTGCTTCTAATTTGTTTATTTGTTCTTGTTTATTTTGTAAATTCAATCCAACATTGAACTCAAGCTTCCTTTTCCTGTGTGTAAACTCATGCGCAACAAAATTACCCCATTGTAAAAACATACATAGAGTATGCATACATTTAGGTGAGATAAACCAGCCTGATATCATGAAATGAGTATCTAGCACGCATTAGCCGCGTTTCCACTGCCGGGCCAGTAGCCCCGCAGCGCTGCCCTAAACCCCGCCCCTAACACGCCTTTCTGGATCAAACGTCATACAACCCAACCCATTTCAGCGGGTATTATGAATTTATTTATTTTTTAAGTTAGGAAGATAGCATGTTTATTAACTCACCGGCCGTGGCTGCAGCCAGCAATAATGTCCAGATTGTCTCGCGAGTCGCCACTAACAGAGGGACGGTGACCCAGCAGCACACCGTCCATCAAGTCGATCCATGGAATTTGAAAAGTTCCTTCTCTGAGCTCCGCTTTGTCCATTGTGCGTTTGAATCGCCTTGTACAATACTGCGCCCGCAACTTTTTTTCCTGAACTTGAAGCGTTGCCCGCTGAATGCTTAGCTTAGAAAGTTCAGAATTGATGTATTTTATAACGTCTTCGTTTCTTCACACGCCGTCAAATTGACGTTGTACCCTTTCTTCTGCCCAAATACTCAGAAGAGCTTTGGTATCTTCGACAGACCAGTACAGGCGATTCACCATTTCGAGCAGCGATTATTTTGCGCAATATAAAAAAGTGAAATGTGCATCTGGCTTCAGATCATAACGTTCCATAACACCGATAAACTCCGCCTTTTACCTTGACCACGCCTCTAGCCCGAGCTGGCCCGCTTTGGCCCAAGGTATTCGATGGGCCAGAAATCCTGGCCGTTGGCCCCGATCAAGCCCCGGAAGTGACAGTGGAAACGCAATTGGCTCTGGCACGCACTAGCACGGCTCGGCCCTGGCCCGGCAGTGGAAACGCGGCTATTGTGTTTATCGTGCAATTTATAAGCGAAAATGAGTTTTTACGTGCATATGATACGCACTTTATTGCATGTAATACCCACGTACCCCACACCACTAATCCTACCCAAACGTATAATACACATGTACCCTAGTCCTACCTAAGGGGTTTACAGTGCGTAACATATGAACAACATAACTAATTTTTGCGTATAAATTGGACGATAAACAATGAGTGCTATAGAGAGGCATTTAATGAGATCGGGTTGGATAAACGTAATGACGTCATGTGCAAACAAGCTATACCCTGCATATTGATAGCAGCTCCCTGATACCCGCAAAATTATACATTTAAGAAAATTTTAAATTAAGAATAATGTGCCAAAGACTGGCACCAATAGGCAATTTCACTCCTTCAAAACTAGTCAAGAAGTAGCCTACTTAATTGTTCCAGCAACTAGATTCCCATCCGAAAGAGCTTTTTAGTGCCAGTGGGAAGAGTGTCATGCCACAGGACATCTCTTAAACCAGAAACCATTGATAGGCATGTGTTCTTAGCTAAAAACTTGTGCAACACTTGAATAATTTAGCCCAGTTGCACAGTGTAAAATGTAATATGTCAGAATGCACTTTTTTCATAGTTATTTATATGTTAATTTCATATTTTTTTAACTGTGTTTTTGCTCTTGAAACATTTTGAATGTGCTTTTTTTTTTTTATTGGGGATATATAAATAAATGACTATATAAAGTTATAGTCCAAAGTTAACTATCTCAGCGGCTGCGTCATACTGGTTACTGCCCATATGTCAAAAAATAGTTAACTCAATCAACTCTATCAACATCTTCAATCAACAATAAACATCAGACTTGAGCAGGATGTTTCAAAGTGGCAAGTTTTTGTTTAGTTTTGTCAAATGAAAAATGGATTTACTTTCGCACAGAAAACAGCATCTTCTCAACATGTCTAGTCAACAACACAAACCAAACTCGTCCAGGCTGGAATTACTGACGACTCGTTTCAGGCAGTTCAAATTCAGTTCTTTCTTTTGCAAGACCATAAGTTCAATGGTTGTGCACTTAAATCTTTGAAACTAGGCAGACCTTTTACATTCACAAACAGCTATATTACAAAGTACATGAAAAGTAATATCTGAAAACGCATAATATGAGCATGTTAAGACATACTTTTATTGAACCAGCTTTAACTGCATTCAATTTGAATGCAAAAAAAAACTGATTACATTTTTCAGATAGCCTCTGTAAAATTAATCATATGTGCAGTATGTTGTTAATTAAAAAGTTCTTTAAAAAAAACTGGATGCATTTCTTAATGAATCTTTGTGGCTGCTTTCTGGTTAAAGGTTAAAAAAAAGTCCAGCATTAAATCAATTAGTCTGTGGCTAAACTGCACTGTGTTTTAGGGGTTGTAATTAAAATGCTCAAATCCGTGGGGATCTTATTTGGTTAAACTTGTTGGTCCAATATGTACTATGCAATGATAATGGCAGCATGATGACATTAGTTGCTTAATTGCCCAAATCAAAAGTGCCCACCTCCATGTCTCAACTAACATTCACTAGATACAGCTTGACTCCTTTTTCAATCCAACTATGGGAGGATTTTTTCACAGTTTTATCATCTGTCAAGCAAGAAAGTCTCCAAGGTGCAAGTCTGATCAAAATAAGTTACCAAGCCTCTATAGTTCAAAGCCGTAACTCATAGCATGGGCAATAGGAATATAATGGTTGCATTTTGCAAACATTATTAGAGCACTAACATCGGTACACTTACATTCACCCAAGCGTCCCTTTATGAATCAAAAGCATATAACTAGAACTAAACTAGGCTCACAGCTGGACGTTACAGCCAGGAAATCATGTGACAATTTCATCAGTACAGTATAGACATGGTAATCCAATCTTCTCAATTATTCTAAGTCTTCTTTGGTAGGGGACATTAAAAACATTATATAAATAATACTTAACAGCTCAATAGTAAAAGTATGTGCTACTGTTTTCCAATAAAGCATTTAATATGCTTTTAATTAAATATCATACAAAATGACCTGCAATATATTCATTCCAGTGATTTGATTGCATTTGTCACCACTTTGGCTCTTACCTTGAGTCGTTTGACAACTTCATCGTTGGTGATCTTATCAGTGATCTCTTTGACACCCAGTGGGTAGGTGATCTTTCCGTCCCCCGCTGGCCGTTGCTGCTGAGGCTGTTGCGGGAACTCCATCATCCTTCTCCAGACAGACAGACGGTCCTCTACTGGCCTCTATAGGCAACAACACTAAAGTTCAGCACACAAACCCACCACACCACTACAAAAACACTAAAATACACCTTATGCACTTCACCCTCCTGCTCTCTGGTCGTGTAGTTAAGCCCCCTAAAACCGTGGAATGACACGGAAACCTTACATACAACAGTTTGCGGGAAAATTCTGAATAAAATCACGAAGCTAATGAAGCTAATAGCAACACTAGCCTGAGAGCTAACGAGACCAGCTCCGCAACCGCGCTTTTACTCTAAAATGCATTACTACCTAGGCATTTAAAGCTCGCCTGATAAGGGTCTCCACATATTATGCACGTTCAGACATAACCACACTACTCGGTAGTAAGGTATCGTATAAAAGCACCTCAGAGAGTAAAATACCTCTTTGAGCGGCTAATGGCCTAGCCGTCAGCTCCAGGCCTCAAACTATTCAACAAACATCCAGCCAACACTCACATTTACCTATTACAATCACAACCCACCGGTTCCTGCTACCCCAAAAGCATTTATCCCACATCTCTCAATCGACACTACTCCACCGCGGCCGTTATCCTAACTTTAGACGGTAGGAAATCTGAATTGTTTACTTGTTTTCTCTGTATAAGTTCACTCAGCGAGGCAAACAGCGACCACCAACTTCATCATGCCACACAAACTGTGTGAATTAAACTCCCTCGAGCGACCCCAGCCGCCTCACAGCCGCTTTCAAACAATTCCCCGGTCATTACCTCACAGACAAGTCGTTGTTTTAATTCATGAGTCAGGCTCGGGTTCGGGTTCGGGTGTTTTTTTTAGTTTCGGGCACAAAGCTCCGTCTTTTTCATTCAGGGTTGTGTGAACGTCCTCGCGTGGAAAGTGGAGGCGCAGCGACCCCGTTGGCTGAAAGACGGTATAGCGGGGCGCCGATGGAGGGAGAAACGTTACCATATATATTAGAAACCAACCGCCTGTTATAGTGGTTTACTTGGCACTGAACTTGGTTTACCGTAAGTATTAGAAAAGAAAAGCCCCATACATATGGCGTGCCATATTGTGAAAGAACCGCCTCTGAATTGTGTACTGTACGATCAACAATCTACAACAGCACAGCAGTACTTGCTTGCAATAACACACACCCCCAATTGAGACGGGACAAAATAGGTTAGATTTGTTTATGGAACATAAAATTATTTTTGGATAAATGTTTGAAAAATGTTCAGAGGTATTACCTATATTTATTTGTTAGGTTTGGTACATTCCCCTGCCTCTTATTTACTGCCTCTGACCCTTTCTTATTCACATTCCCTTGCATAATTGTATTTGTATATAGATTATTTTACATACATATTTTGCTTATCTTGTTTATCTGGAAGCTTCACCGATACTTGTGTTTAAACTGAGGCATCTGAAAAGACTCAACACACAATGCACAAATCTCACACCCAGTTTCACAGACAAGTCTTAAGTCTAGTCCCAGACTAAAATGCATGTTTGAGCTGTTTTAACTGAAAGCAACTTTCACTGACATATATCATATGTCACTCATGTCAGTGTCATGTGTTGTCTCAAGATGCACACCATGTTTTTTAAGGCATGTTTATAAAAGATATGAAATGTCCTAATTAAACTGAGCCCTAATCCTGGTTTAATCTAAGACCTTTCTGTAAAAAAAGGCCTCAGATTCTTTCATGTAGTTTTTTCTTGCCTTTTTATTCTCAAAAAACCTATTCTTATAGGTCAAAAGTGGGTGTCATGCTGTTTCCATCCACTAGAGGCGCTGCAGTATTTTTGCTTCTCCGTGAAGAGTTGTTCGTCTGGTTTTCTTTTACTTTCCTTCCTCTAGAAAAACTTGTAAACAGTGGATTTGTCGTCGGTGTCTTGTAAACGGGGTACAACAGAATGCCAAAGAAAAAGAAAAACGGACTGAGTCCCTCCCGTGGCCCGATGCAGGCGGCTGAGTACGGGAGCGGTTCCGAGATTCGAGCACACGGAGCTTATGGATCGTTTGTGACCCGTGCGGACTCGATATATAACACCTTTGGGTCCACACATTCCAGGAGTGGTCAGTTGGAATCTCAAAGACGAGACGAAATCATCCAGAGCATGCAGGAGATGTTTTCACATTTGGATCCAGAAGTAATTTACATGGTACTTTCAGAGGCAGATTTTAAAGGTAAGGGAAATTTTAAAGGTTAAGTTACTCTTTCTATCTTAAGATGGCAAGTTAGTGGCTGATCTTCACTTGGTGTAAGCAGCCATATATCTGGCTGACCAACTACCATCCAAAACCAGCTCGATCACCTTAACCTGGTATGACCACCAACTGGTAGCAAGTTTGTTGCTGGCCAAAGATAAACTTGGACCACCTAAAGACCATTTTAGACCACCTAGAAACCAGCTACGTAACAAAAGCTACCAACTTCACCTCGATTATTTTCTATACATTTTTATTTTATAGTATTTTATTAAACTATGCTTCAAGTTGACGTTGTCATGAAGCCCTGTATGATTCTTAATATACATGATGACATACACTACTGGTCAAAGGTTTAGCTTATGCTCAACAAGGCTACATTTATTTAATACAAAATATTGTCGTAAATAAAAAATAAAAACATTTTGAAATATTATTACAAGAATTTTAAAATCTAAAATAACTGTTTTCAATTGTAATATGTTTTAAAATGTCATTTATTTCTGTAATGGCAAAGCTGAAATTTCAGCACATATTACACCAGCCTTCAGTCACATCGTTCTTCAGAAATCATTCTAATATGCTGATTTGGTGCTCAATTATTATTAATTATTATTGGTGCCCATTTATTAATAATGGTTATCAATGTTGCAGAGAGTTTTTGCGTCTTAATTTTTGTGTGGAAACCGTGATACTTTTTTTCAGGATACTTTGATTAATAAAAAGTTCAAAAGAACATTTATTTGAAATAGAAATCTTTTGTAACATTATAAACATCTTTATTGTCACTTTTAATTAATTTAATGCATCCTTGCCAAATAAAAATATATAATATTTTTTAACTACTACCATTAAGTCTGGGGTATCACAATTTCCACAAAAATATTAAGCAGCAAAAATTGTTTTCAACATTTACAACAAGACATTTTTCTTGATCACCAAATCAGCATATTAGACTTATTTCTGAAGGATCATGTGACAGGTTTATAAAGGCTGTGTTTCAAAGTATTGTTGTTTTTGCTGTATTTTTGAACAAATAAATTTAGCCTTGGTGATTTATAAGAGACGTCTTTCAAAAACATTAAACCAAATCTTAATAAACTTTGAACCGGTGCTGTATGTTGCATTTAGCATTTTTGCTAGATTAGGCACTACTTTTAACTTTTTTTCTTAAATGCATAAATCGTTTACTTTTTTTTCTTAAATGCAGTAATATACATGTATTTTGGATACATATTTTTTTTATTTATACATTTTCTTTCTTAATCTCTGCATTAGTGGACAATGCGATGGATTCGCTTTTGGAGCTGTCGGATGCTGCTGAGGGCATAGTCCCACCCCCTCCTCCTGTCTCAGGGTTCGAGCAGGCTGCTGCTCTCCTGGGTACGAACATCACTCAGACAGACCTCCTCAGTGGAACGGCAGAGAGCTTTGCCTTTTCAAACCAGCCTGCATCTCAGCCGGAGCTCATTCCTGGTGAAACACACCTCACAGAAGAGTTTGATGCTCTTATAGATCAGGAACTTCAGACTTTGACGGCACAGCAGACACAAGCTAGCTCCCATCCTGTAATGCCCTCCATACCTCTCTCTTCTCTACCCCCTTCTTCTCAATCAATCCCTCACTCCTCGCTGCCTCTTACATCCCAGACTCAGCTTCCAGCTCCTCGAACAAGATCAGAGCAGGCCTCTTTCTCTGACCCCGGGCTCAGTGAGGCCCGTGGCGGTAGTTCACCCCTGAGTGAATTGAGTTTCGGTGGGGTCCATATCCCAGACACGAAAACCATATCTCTTGACTTCACTCACCTAATAGTGGAGGCCAGCTCTACTGAACCACGGCCCTCTGCCTTTCAGGTTTACCGTAGACCTGACCAACTCTGTAACCACACAGTGGCAATGCAGCGTCAAGAAGCACTCAGCACACCTGCCACGTTCTGGAACACTCAGGCTACTGAGTTTCATCCGTGCTCTGTGGGGCCGTCCTTCATTACACCTGTCATTCCTAACCCCACCCGTTGGAGCACTAACCCCCTTCCTGCTGCTCAGTGGTTGGCTCGTGGACCTATCAGACAAGCACCTCTGAAGCCTTCTGCAACTGTACCAAAGTCATGGACTCTGCCCACTTGGAACAGACTCAAATTGGAAGGGCAGGTGTTGGTGTTACTTAGAGGGGCTCCTGGATCAGGCAAAACCACCCTTGCCAAGTAAGCAAGAAGACTCATAGCTGTCATTTTATTGAAAACAGGTGGAATAGCACAAAGGAAATCTTTTTCTTTTTTTGGAGTTTTAAGTTGGCATATAATGGCATATAATGTTCTTTTCATTTTCGTTAAACAACTTAGTCCATGAGAGCAGTTCATGATGTACAACACTCCCTTATAAGAGAATAGTTTTCCTTAGGGGGAGGTTATAATAACTTCTCTTGGGAATGAAGTTAGGATTCATTTAGATGGTCCTAACAGAATTAGATAGATTGTCCTTTGGTAATGCTTCATGGGTAGGAAATTTGCCATGTAGTGGTATCAAATGTTCTTTTTGCACTAGTTGTTAAAGCTTTTTTTCATGATTTTGTAACTGTATTGTTTTGCATTATAAAACGGGTTGCAATGTTTTGCTAGTTTAGGTAAAGTTTTAATTTTTGTTACTTTTTTTTACTTTTTTAACATAAATTTAGCCTTTTAATGAAAATATCACATAGAAAACAAGTTTGAGAAGAGCATTTAAAAATCTAAATGAAGTTTTAAATAAATACAAAAATTAAAGCAAAAATTAAATAAATATTTGAACCTGCCGTGGAGCAGAAGGGCAAAAGCTCTTTTTAGTATACATCCAGACCGTGAAAGCAATTTTGCATGATAATTATCAAAGTATACCATACTGCCAAATACCAGCACATATATTGCCCGTAATTAGCTTTTGTTTGGAGATTAACAACACTGGCAGATAACCATGCTCAACAGAATTATGGTGAACCACTTTGCTGTTTAGAGTATGTTTATAGAGAAAGTATATAGTTTTGTATAAGGTATAAAGTTTTTTTCTCTCCTTGCTGTCCAGTGCTATGGTGACACAAAATCCTGGAGGAGTTGTATTGAGCACTGATGAGTATTTCATTCAAAATGGACAGTACCAATTTGAACCAAATTTACTAGGAGAGGCCCATGAGTGGAATCACCAGAGAGGTGAGTATTACAAGCCTGTTTGCTTAAGCCAAAGCAAAATGTCAGGTGTTTACATTAAATTATTTCCATTTCTTTATTATTTGCTACCCATTGACTAGTCACTAGACAGTCTGACCTTAAAGGTGATGTGTGCACATTTGTTGAAATCTTTTTTGTTGTGTGTTTATTTATTATAAACACTTATTTATTAATGGAGAAGAAAGAGTACAGCACATATTTATTTAAACATTGCTCCGGGTTAGCCTGGGTCGGGTCAGGGTGTTTGCTAACCGTATGGCTAACTGCAAACTACTTTCAAACTACTTTTTACCCCTAAGCAAAGAATAAAAAAAAAAATGACTTAGTAAGTATTTTGGGGCCTTACCTGTTTGGCTGACAAATGTCAGACAGTTGAAGTGTTTGGGAAACAGTTTTGAAAACTGTCATTATTTTCGCAATTCTGCTTGGTGCCACTGATGCCACATACAATTACACACTTCACCTTTAATCTTTGTATAATCTTTCTGCAATGTCTTTGTTGTGATCAACATT